CACTACAACATAACATCAAAAAAATTACAAAAATTTAAAAAAAAAATAAAATTCTAAATTTGAATGCAGTTTTTTAGAGAATTGCGCCAGAAACATTTAGAGGTATGCCACTTCAAAATCCGATAAAGATAAGTTGAGTTATGAAGTTTAGAGCTTCAGCCTTGGGACATTTCTTAAGTTTTTTGGATTTCTACTACAACATAACATCAAAAAAATTACAAAAATTTTCTTAAAAAATAAATTTTTAAATTTTAATGCAGATTTTTAGAGAATTGCGCCACAAATATTTAGAGGTATGCCACTTCAAAATCCGATAAAGATAAGTTGAGTTATGGAGTTTAGAGCTTCACCCTTGGGACATTTCTTAAGTTTTTTGAATTTCTGCTACAACATAACATCAAAAAAATTACAAAAATTTTCTTAAAAAATAAATTTCTAAATTTTAATGCAGATTTTTAGAGAATGGCGCCACAAACATTTAGAGGCATGCCACTTCAAAATCCGAATAAGATAAGTTGAGTTATGGAGTTTAGAGCTTCAGCCTTGGGACATTACTTGGGTTTTTTTGAATTTCTACATCATAACATCAAAAAAATTACAAAAAATTTTTTTTTTTATAAATTTCTAAATTTGAATGGAGTTTTTTAGAGAATTGTGCCAGAAACATTTAGAGGTATGCCACTTCAAAATCCGATAAAGATAAGTTGAGTTATGGAGTTTAGAGCTTCACCCTTGGGACATTTCTTAAGTCTTTTGGATTTCTACTACAACATAACATCAACAAAATTACAAAAATTTTTAAAATAAATAAAGTTCTAAATTTGAATGCAGATTTTTAGAGAATTGCGCCACAAATATTTAGAGGTATGCCACTTCAAAATCCGATAAAGATAAGTTGAGTTATGGAGTTTAGAGCTTCACCCTTGGGACATTTCTTAAGTTTTTTGAATTTCTGCTACAACATAACATCAAAAAAATTACAAAAATTTTCTTAAAAAATAAATTTCTAAATTTTAATGCAGATTTTTAGAGAATGGCGCCACAAACATTTAGAGGTATGCCACTTCAAAATCCGATAAAGATAAGTTGAGTTATGGAGTTTAGAGCTTCACCCTTGGGACATTTCTTAAGTTTTTTGAATTTCTATAACATCATAACATCAAAAAAATTACAAAAATTTAAAAAAAAAATAAATTTTTAAATTTGAATGCAGATTTTTAGAGAATTGCGCCAGAAACAATTAGAGGTATGCCACTTCAAAATCCGATAAAGATAAGTTGAGTTATGAAGTTTAGAGCTTCAGCCTTGGAACGTTTCTTAAGTTTTTTGAATTTCTATAACATCATAACATCAAAAAAATTAAAAAAAAAATAAATTTCTAAATTTGAATGCAGATTTTTAGAGAATTGTGCGAGAAACATTTAGAGGTATGCCACTTCAAAATCCGATTAAGATAAGTTGAGTTATGGAGTTAAAAACTTCAGCCTTGGAACATTTCCTAATTATTTTTAATTTTCTCAACATCATCTCATCAAAATATTACAAAAACAGATGGAATGCCATAGTCGAGTTCCCCGACTATCAGATACACGTTACCCAGCTAGTGCGAAAGAGAAATTTCATCATTTTCATCATCATCGTTAAAAATTGAGAATAGAATTAAGAAATGAGAAAAAAAAATAGTTTAAGTGTGGGCGTGACAGTTTTAGGCGGCTTGGGGGCAGACGAGTGGGCGTGGTAACATTTGGAAAAAAACTTGAGCTGCGTCTATGTCTCTGAAAGCTGTATGCTGAATCTCAACATACTTTATATACAACATATACTTTATATGGTCGGGAAAGCTTCCATCTGCCTGTTATATACTTTTCAACGAATCGTATACCCTTTTACTCTACGAGAACGGGTATATTTACATTAACAATGAAGTTTACATTTACATTGTATTTAAGATTTTACATTCGAAGCTGTGTAACTGGGTACTAAAAACCCGCTAATGGCGTTATTGGTTTGTGCATTCGCTAAGAGTTAGTTTCAATGCTTAAATTACAAAAAAAGGGTGGCGCCACATTATCTTTTGAACTTTTAACTTTTGAAACCAACGTGTATTTGTTTTATTTATTGAAGCCCTGGTTAAGTATTGACAAACGAAAAAACACAAATATCAAGAATTCGCGCTTGTTAGGATAAGTGTTTAGTGTTATTTTCTTTATAAATTGCTAATTATACCAGCTATACGAAGAGTTACCGGGGTATATTAAATTTGTTAGAAGTATCTTACAAGCAATACGAATCCACAAATTAATTAGTTAAAATCAACAAATTTGCCGGACTGTCAGTTTTCAACAGTACAGGCAGACAGGGACACATATACAAAACTAAGGGTTATGATAAAGATTTTTAAGTCCCAAAATTTCTAAGCGATTTAATTAAAAACGCCTGTCTCCAAATACACCGATACATATCAACTCCGTTCATGTCCTACAGGAAGAGATGGAAGACTGGATTTTGAAACTCGTCTGTAAAATCATAGCTCTCGAAAAAATGTGTGCCAGAAGAGAAAACTATCTTTTTAATGACAGACCGAAAAAAAAGCATCGTGAGATAAAGGGGAAACGCATTTGCTGCGCCTCAAGCAGGAAGTCGATGGTGCAGACCAACTTTGTCTGAAAATCCAGACACAAACTGAGACATCGACATCGGCGACAACTGCAAAGAGTGCGTAATTGCTTTTAAGCCTGAATAGTGAGTTACGCCCTGGTTGTCTCCTCCTAAAAACGTCTTACTATTAGCGCTAAAAGGTAAGCCTCGCAGCTGCAAGGCTACAGAGTCTTAGCGGAAGAGAAATCGCCTTTTCGTTGGGAAGTATGTATAAATAATCAACAAAACCATTCCCCCTACATACATACATATATAAATATTCGTGAGAGCAGGAAAAGTGCAACTTTATGGGTGGTGAAAAGGCATGACAAATTCATCTAACGTTTTGGGGTTCATTGATAGCACATACACTTGTAATTTTTAAAACTAAGCTAAAAAAATAGGAGGACAAGTGTCAGAATAAGAGTTCCTCGACTGCAGTAGTACTAAAAAAAAACCGGAGAAGAAAATTTGTATGGGATTGCAAACAGGCACCACCTAACTGGTATTGTAATGAATATTTATATTACCCGTCACTCGTAGAGTAAAAGGGTATATAATTTTAGTCGTAAAGAAAGCGAAAAGGTGTCTGTTCATTAGATATATCGTATGCATGTGTAGATATAAATGTATTCAGCTAAAATTTCCAGGAGTCACCCAATCTAAAATATTAGTGCCCACGCAAATACATTGCCACCAAAGACTTCTAATTGTATGCGTTGTTAATGCACAACCAAACAAGCCGAAATCCCTAACTCTCGAGTTAGACCCAAAGGAACAACTGATTAATAGGCATACTACTTAAAATTTTAAATCTGAAAGATTTTATAAATTTTTTTTAGTAATACAATAAGTTCAAGGAACTCTGTATGTTGTATACACCAAAACCTAACAGGCGAACTGATCCAAGTTTGGAGGCAATAGAAAAATGATGTCGAATATGGAGTTCGTCATCAGCATGAGTACTTGACGGCAAGAAACAACAATTTTGCGACCTCAGCGCATTCAATGGCACATCTGACTACTTCGATTAAATAACCAACCCCATCTCGTTATGGCCACCGATTTCGAGCTATGTTTGAGCATTATCTTATGAAATAGTTTTTGCAGCCCTTTTAGCGTGCCCTTTTAGCGTTTGCCGTATTTGATTTTTTTCGTGTTTGTTTTACACAAATATTATAAATATTAATATACAAGAAGACCAGTATAATTTAGGCCAAAGATGGATCGGTATGAAAAGGCTTAGGAGGAGCGTAGCCGCCTCACGTGCTGATCTATTGTTCGTTAAGCCATTGAAGAGCGGTAGCCGCAAACGGCAGGCAAAACAGTTGTCCAATATTTACCGGTTTGTGGGGCACTCAACTTGACAAATAAAAATAAGAACCACAGCCGATGAGTACGACGACTATTAGATACCCGTTACTCGGCTATTGATTTAAAAAAAATATGGGTTTATTTATCCACTTGTGCATTACTCTACTGACAATGACTTCCCTTCAAAAAGTAAGCTTTAAAATAAACGATTCAAAACATTTTACTTTATGCAGTCGAAAAAGCTTTCTTCTAGCTGCCTTTCAATTTTCAGCATACCCAGTATACCCCGCTGCCTTAAAAGTAGAGAGCACAGCATAAAGCCAAACCGCTCAGCTGATCGAAAGCTAACTCGTTGCTCATGGAAACCAATGCTCTCGCTCCCAGTGCCACTCGCTATTTCGCTCTCTCTCTCTCTCTCTCTCTGAGTTCCACTCTTTATTTTTAAGCCGCCTGCAGTAGGACAGCTTAAAAGTTTACGACTGCGCAAGCGCCGCTCAGACCGTTGATGGCGTTCGCTGGAATCGCTTGGCACACGTCGCGTTTCTTGGCCGCCAGCGCGATTTAAACCGCCAATTGACAAAGTGCGTTTTGTACCCCACTTGCAAGCCCCGCTACCCCCCGAGAGAATGTGTGTGATTGCTTTTTATAGGTGTCTAGATATTTACCATGATTCCAAAAAAAGTACACAATACAAATAGATACACTAACTTCATCGAATTTATTTATTGATTTGTGTGTAGTGGTTTTTTCATTATTTTTGTTTAAGTGCCTAATGTTTTGATGGCGCCCCATTTCCGCATTTTCAGAAGGAGTGCATGATATAATTACTACTCAAAACTGTAATGAAATGCAAATTAATTACAAATAATCGAATGAATTAATTTCGTTATTTGGCGGTTCCGCGCTAATAGTTTCCTGCACAACTACAATAGCAGTTGCGATTACAATAATAATAACAAAAACAACACCTTTGGCCAAACTGGTCGAAAAAAATTGTTGCAAAAGTGTTTTTTGTTTTCTAATTTTTGTTTTGACGTTGCATGTGGCAGCAAAAGCAGAAACAGCTATCCTGCACTTAAATTGTACTTGTTGCAGTTGCTGCTGCCTCACAAAATCATTCATGCTCAAGACATTTATGCGAACCGATAAGAGGACAGTCGAAGCTACAAATAAACCAGGCAGCTGGAATGGCAACAAAATAAGCATCTTTGGCTTCAACACAACAGTCGCAAGTTAATAATAATACATTGGTGGAAAACCGATTTAATTGGTAATCGAAGTTGTTATTGGTTTTAAGAGTTACGTTAAAAAGATAAAATATTGACCGAAATTAAAAAAAAAAAGTATTTCTTTATGTGAGGCTGTGTCTTTGTATATGTTAGTCTTTTTCTATGAACCAGACTTGCTTTTGAACCGACAAGAAAAAAAAAAGAAATCTTAAGCCTGATCTTAGTTTCCACTCAAAATCCGAAAGTGAAATTTCACTTTGCAGTTTTCATTGCTGGTGTTGTTTTGCAACTTCGGCGACGAATCTACTGCTAGAAAGGTATTAATAACATACTTACTTTTATAAAAAATAGAAGATAAAAATATGACAATGTCGAGGAAATTAAGCAGCAAAATCTGGCGGAGCAGCCGACAAAAAACAATATTAACGTTTTGGGGAAAAACATCAAGAAAATCAGCAGATACACCAAACCAAATCAGCAGAGCACTTTCATCAAGTAACTTAGTTATCTGCGGCTGTCTGATAGTAATCTTCATCGCATCTGTAACCACGGCCAAAGCACCGGATCAGGAAGCTATCCATCACAAAAATGGTATGTTTTAAAATCTGTTTGTATCTGTGGCTTAATTTGTTGCTGTGAAAGTGAAACTGTTAACTGCCGCGAGAATTATGAGACTTGAAGTCATCAACCAGCGGCCATTGGCCATAGCCTCGCGACTTGTGATCAAGTTGAGCAGCTACCGCTGCTGAGTCTTTGATTTGTGGCAGCAGCGCTTTCACTTAGCCAGCTTTTGTTTTGTTTTTCGTTAAAGTAGATACATAACATTGGGATACCTCTAAAACTACGTATATAAACCTAACCCATAACATACAATCTTAGAAAATAAAAAATAAATTACTTTCGGGTAAACTTAACCAGAATCGACTTTAAATTTTCCAAGGCTATAGCCCAAGTGCCCCATTTCGCTAAAAGTGATTACAAATTGTGTCAATCATTTCGGTTTTGGGTCAATTAATATGTAGAAATCTCAGTTGGAGTTGCTAATTTCCCGGTTGCAGTTGAGCAAGCCACATAACAAAAGGGCGAAAAGGAAGTCAAACAAATAGTCAGCAGAAACGATGTAATAAAAAACACATCAAAAATAGGTTATCAGGGGGATTGAAGATGGGAAAATGATGCCACCGAAAAACAATGCCAGGTACATTTTCCCAGACATATCGCGCTGCTCTTACCACATCTTCTCCTACTACTGAAAGCGTTGTAGTAAAGATTGAAAATAGGGAAATGGAGAAGAAAAAGGGGGAAAAGTACCGCAGACCTCATTTTCCTCATGGTTCCGTATGCTGGGCTAATTTTCTTCTATTATTTCTGCCTTTTTGCGAACCATTTCTTACGTTGAGCCTCTCTCTTTATTTACCGTAAACATTTTCAATTGTAGTGCTCCATTTTCATCCACTCAAAACCGAAAGTATTTCCCTTGGGAAATGTCTTAATTTCATTTTTGTTTTAGCCAAGGTGTATTCAAAAAATGTCCCCTTTCATGTTTTTGCTCAATGTCCTGATAGTGATTTTTTTACAACAAACTATTAAGGTTTTAAAAGCGTGAAACAATCTTATAGGACTGCATGTGACTCTCAATATTTAGAAACTGAATAGGGCAAATTCAAAAACCACAGATTACATCACAACCGCAGCTACCTTGTGACAATTTCCCAAGCCATGGGTATATGGCTTGTCAGAAAACAAAAAATATATAAAGGCGCACAGATCTGAACAATCGGCGCACTGATGATGACGCCCCCAATTTGGGCCACAGATCTCAACCCTCAAGCATATAATGATCACATTGAATCTGAGAAAACTATGCGTTAAATTGCAACTGAAGCAAACAATAATTTCCATTCATTTGAACAATGAATAAAATTTAATGAGCGCCGCTCTTATGATAACAATATTAAGTATGCGAAATAATAAGTAATAAAAAGCCCTTCAAAATAAAAAAGGGAAAAAAATGAACGGATAAAAAATCTTGAACATACCGTAATCAACGAAGCAGAAATGTACAGACAACCAAAAGGCTTACATTACAGACTGAAATTGAGTGCAACTTTTTGAGTGAACAGAGAACTTCCTTTGCTGTTTTAAATATTCAACTGCCACAAAATGTTATTTTCTTTATAATTACAATTCATATTTATGTATATGTACTCTTGTCTTGTCTTGTCTTGTCCGTCTGTCTGTCCGTATGAACATCGTAATCTCGGGAACAACAATCAGAACATAGTCACGCCCCAAACCAAATACTTTTTAATTTTATTTAATATAATAGGGGTTTTTTAGATAGATTTCTTGATCGATTAGGGAGTTGTATTTCTATATACCAGCAGCTTTAGGCTTGGCTTTAATTATAAAACGCAACTACATCGAATAAAATTCGTTGTATTTTTTATGTCGATGTTATTGTCCTTGTTATGTCCGCGAATTGTGTTTAATTTAAATGGTGAGTCTTAACCTTTAAATTCGGCGATCACATTGAATGAAAACCGCTTCATTTTCGGACCACTGTGATTGAGATTCGTGTTTATTGGGCAATGAGAGCAATCGCAACCAATACAATAGTTCGGGCATAAAATAAATAAAAGGCGGGTACAAAAGCCACATCAATCATTTAGGGAATCGTATGACATAGTCAAACGTTTGTAACAACTGTGAAAAGGAGAGTGGAGCAATATAAACCGATTGTAGATCATCGAGTAACGCAAATTTACATAATCTACATATTTAATAAAACAACCCCCCTTGTTATTATTTTTGATATTTATCAAACGAAAATGGCGCAAAGGTGTTTAAATTGGTAATACTGAAAATTAGCGGCACTCTGGGCATACGGTATATAAAAATACCATATACTATATATATATACTATAATTTTCAAGTGCCTTAGTTATCAGATTCCCCCTTTTTCTGCCAGGTAATATGGACATACATAACTGAACATGAATTTATCTAGTTCACGCGACACACACATTTTTTGTGGGTTCAAACGGCCATGTAAATATTGACTTGGCTAGTAGTCCTGGTACAGGATATGTATGATTTTTCAAAGAATTTAGTTAGCCTCTCACTATACAAGTTTAGTCCACTCTAGTTTCTTACCTTACGTTACCCAATATTTCTGATGTAAAGTTAATTAATAAGTTTTAGATTAACAATAGATTTGCTACTAACACAAAGTATACTGTAGTAAAAGGCTCATACCCTTTTCATTCAAAAAACATTCTCTGGGCTGATAAATTGCGTGCTGCGGCTTTCGCTCTATGTCCTAACATTTCGAATGCGATTTTCGAGCTACAAGCGGTAAACTTGAGCTGTTTTTTTCGTGCCTTTGTGTGTCGAAGGTATTTGGCGCAATTCGTTAAAAAAATGGTGTGGCAATCGACTTATTCAAACTTAATGATGTCTTCTTTGCTTTCGCAGGGAAAATAACACAAAATAAACGAATATAACGTAATTGCTCGGTTCGTTGGCCCATAGGATAATATTTTGAACGTCGTTTTGAGCATTTTGGCCATTTTCGACACGCACTGCTGGCTATTGCAATCAATCAAATCACAGCTAAGTTCCATTTCCCGAAAGCCAAATAACAAAAAACAAAAAACAAAAATAGTAAAGACAACAAACATAATATACGCAGCTTTTGGAAAGGTGAATGCAAATTGCGTTATGAACATAATGACCGGTTTGTGGGTAGTGTTGAAATAATCGCCTCCCCCCACTCATAACAAAACCGACAGAAAATCAATCAGAAAATCAAATTAGTTTTGCAGTTAAATTGGTATTTCGAGTCTGAAGATGAGCCAACTTTTTTTTAAGTGAACAGCAATTATTGTGGTTTAGTTTGCACTCCGGCTGCCATCCAGTTAGTCATCAAACCGAATGGTTTTTAGGATTTGGGATAGGAATTCTGGATTACAGGTAGGGGATTTACAGTAACCCTTTAAATATTTTCTCATTGAATTGTATTGCCCATCGATGTAGCGAAATTAAATCCTATTATTATTTGTAAAGTAACAATTCAAGGGGCTTGGCCAATAAAAAATATATATATATGTAGTGTCAAAATGTTAAGTGTAATACTATCCTACATCCTCTGTGTCTGAAGACAGAAAAGTATTAGTTCTTTTTCCTCTGCCATTGTCATCCTTTCTTGGATATTTTTATGTCCCTCAACCTTCACCTTGTTGGCCCAAGTAACAAAACCCAAATGAATGGTGCGAAATCGCTAGTTGCTCATGGGAAAAACTGTCCGCTGTCTACTGGTCCGGTGTACGTGTCATGGTCTATAGTTCCTGCCAGTTTCGATCTGAAAACGTGTTTGCAGTACGACAACGTTTGCTGACTCAGCCAGTGAGCTTCCAATGCTCAATGCTCAATGCTCAATGCTCAATGCCCAAACGCTCACATCAAGCATGCGCCAAGTATGCAATTGCAACCTAATTAACCATTCAGCCACACAAAGTGCCAAATGAAATATATAACTTGTGCGTAAAATACCATTAACATTCATTCCTTTTTGTTTGATTCGACTTCATTTTAATTCACTTGACGTTCTGACCATAAAACAAATGCGAAACTATTGGGGTTTTCCCGCATTCCCATCTTTTGGCAGGATTTTAGGATTTACTTAGCATAGGTTCTGGATTTATCGCAGTCTGAATTTCGATTCAAGCATTTAAGCATTTAATTGGCTGGCACATGCAATCGTAGGGATTTCGCGCCCACTAGATTTCTCAGACGTGAACCCCTCGAAATAAAAGAAAAAGGCGACGTTTGACTGCCAGCAACTACTCAAAGGTGTAGCTCAAAGCATTGCACAAGCGACGGGAACTGCATGAATGCGCTTCTCAGTCTGTGCAGTACAAGAATACATATGTCTACGGGCAAATTAATACAATGGCTGGGCACCCATGAGATTCAATGCCCCGAGAATCGGTCACCCACTGCACACTGATCAGTGAGGCATGCATTGTCAGTCAGTCAGGTAGTCAGGTAGTCAGTCGGCTAGTCAATCATTGAGGGCGGCAGTCGGCAAAACAAATTATGGAAAATGCGAGAGACCTCAGAAACAAAACGCAACTAACTAGCCGCCTGTCCTTGGCCAGTTAGCATTATATATAATTATATCTACTCATTCTGCATTATGTGATCATGAAGTTTTGATAGGGAAAACGTTAGCGGGTGTACGACAAAAAGATTTCAATAAAACCTGCCAATGTTCTGGCCAGAGTGATTTATTGCACAGAATGCACTAGTATGCAAAGCGAAAAATGATCAAATATAAGTAAGAATATGATTTTAAAAGGCTTGTGATAATATTTTAAAGAAAATTACACTAGCTCCACAACTGCAATTCTGTATGTCTTAGACACTAGGCAATGTAACGCATTTTTGACTAACAAGCCCCCGTGCGACGATTTCGCTATAGACAATCGTCTATGTAAACCCGACGTGTGCCTCAATAAAGTCTTTACCCAACTAACCTTCTGTATTTAATTACTCTGCGAACAACGAGGGAGCAGCGCTGAGTCTTT